TTAACCTACATTACTTGACCAATTACAATCACTAAGACATGCGACAGTTTCGCTTCAACGTCCATATAAATTGAGATTGTTCAAACATGTTAAAAATATCCCTCACAGCAGGACAATAATTTCAACCATCATCCAGTCTTATTGTAAACAAAGATGGGATCAATCTGATTAAACTGTGAATCTGAATATTCCGTTTCATGTTTTTTTTTATCTTATTAGGCTATCCATGATCTCATATTATTGACAAGGTTCTGAATCGTTTTCTGGGGAATTTCGAACCAATGGCATCAATAGTTTTCATAACCAATGCTAACATACTGAAAACACAGTTAAAGCTCAATATCCCTGAAATTCCTTGCGTATAGTAAGAACATGTTTTATTGAACAGACCATCGGATTGGTTGAATATTGAATATCCAGAACAAGAGATGCATAACAATTTTGTCAGATCATGGATGGCAAGTGATGGAGTCACTTGAAGAAAAAAAAATATGGAGTAACCAGAATTGCACCTGAATAAGATTGGGGTGAGATAATTGATATCATGGTCTATGAGCCAAAATTGCAAATACCTGTAATTCGAAAAGATACGTTCGTGATGAGTGTTAAAAGATAAGGCGTTCCACCATCTTCTTAAGTTGAAAACTTGGCAAACCATTAAAATTAAATTAAAATTCTAATGATGTAACACAAATTATATCACGTTTTATATTAGCATCACATTCGAAGAGCGCACGTGCCTAATTGCAGTTTCAATGGAATTCCGCTGTCAATTTGAATTTGTAATTTATGTAATATTTCAATGAAAGCTGCAGCTTCAATCAGGATCTGGCACCGTTTTAAAGAAAATCTTGAGTTAAAGTTTATGATTGAAGAAGAGTAGTTCCAGCATCTCTTAACAATGTCAAGTATTTCTCTTGTTCAGGTGTTGTAGACCTTGTGAAATGCCACCTTGAACTAGCACGGACGTATAAAAAAATGGGATATCGATACCTTGAGGGTCAGATCGGAAAGTTAGATATCCAATATCCTATATTCCATCCGTATATTAAATCCGAGGAATGGGAAAAGACGGCTTTTCGTGACTTATATAGCCTAGTCTTGAAACGACAGAAGAAATGAATCTGTCGACCTGCAGGCAACATACCTTTTCCAGCCAGCCTCAAATCTGAGGGTAGACTACGATTGTAAGAAGCAATGTGTTTTATTCTCTACTTTCTCAAAACGGAAATGTTCTTCAATCCACGAAACATAAAACAAAATAACCTCACGATTTACAATAGCTAATTGCGGGAAATATTATCACCTGGTTTTAATCGCCTTCATTATTAGAGAGTTCTAATAGACATTCTATGCATTACGTGATACATAATTAACAACAAATTAACCACAGATTTCAATCGGGGAATCTTGTTTTGGTATCTTTATGGTGAAATTCAATACACTTTGAGAGTATAGGGACCTGTATCTAATTTACCCTGAGATCTCAAGCACAGGTGCGTCTATCCCACCTAATACTTTGTGATCATCTTGACAATCGTGAATCTGTTTCGGATCCAATTTTTGAACATGAAAGACTGCTGGAAATTGGTGGCAACTACACTATTTAGGTCCAGTAAATCCAGCAAATCCAGTCGCTGAAATCCACTCACACATTCTGCCAGTCGCAGGTCGACCTCGGGTCCCTTTAAGGCTAAATTGCTGATCTATATTGCAAAGTTCCAAATGGAACTCACTTGATCGAAAATTTCAAGGTTGTAGTCTGGTTGTGAGCTGAGTGATTAAAATACCTAAAAAAATGAATGCTATGAAATATATACTAAATCGCCTGAAATTATTTCTGGATTATGGTCCATTATTTGTAATAAAAGCTTGAAATTCTACAGTACTTTATTATATTTTCCTTACTTCCTTGTCATACAATTAACTTAATTCTTTTCGGTCAATTTGACTTCCTCTTTCGCGAGAGAATGAGAAGGCTGGATTAAACCATTATCGAAAAAGTAGCTAAGTGGCTAATTTCAAACCATATTACATCACATCACGCCACAACAAACCACACTACATCAATTCACATCAAACCACATCACACCACAACACATCACGCTACACAAATTCACATCAAACCACATCACACCACAACACATCAGACTACACCAATTCACATACACACCACATCACATCACAACACATCATACTACATAAATTCACATTACACCAAATAACATTCTACAATAACATACAAAATAAACCAAATCACGCCACAATTAATATCACACCTTACACAATACCACAAATCATACAGCACACTCTAAATCAAATATCACACACCACACTCGTCATCATATATACCACACGTCACATTACACCACACGCCACATGCACCACACGCCACACACCACACGCCACAATTAATATCACACCTTACACAGTGCATCACACGCCACATACACCACACGCCACTAAAGGGGGCGGACAAAGGGGGAATCTAGGGGGAAGCTGCCTTCTCCGAAACCCGAATCGGACTTCATCCCGTACGCCTATGCACGCCACATTACACTACATCACACAAGACACACCACACCACAGAAACGACATTTCATTAAACCTTATAATATTAATATTTCTTTATAAAAAAAGCAATATTTCAGAATATGAAATTTAAATCTCTTGATTCTAGTTTATATTTTGTTCAGAAATTCACTTTTCAAACGGCTCTTGGGGATTTTGTAACTGTCTGTTTTTAAAAAACTGAATTAAATGACAGTTCCATTTGACTCTTGGCTATTATTAATAGCCTGTTGTGCAGAATAATTCTGTTGTAAATCCGCTAGACTGAAATCTTGATAGATTGTTGAAATATGGAAATTGTAAGAGAGAAATTCTCAAATGTCAAAGTGCTGAACGTCCATTAATTATACCAGCAGAGAGAAAAGAGTGAGTTTCTATCATCTATTAGCATTATGCCGTTTTCTATGCAGGATACTTGGCCATCAAAGACGACAACATGGAGATGTTTATCTTTTCGTAGGAAAGCATCTGGATATCTCAAGGTTGCACGAGTCATTTTCAGAAATCGAACCATTGATGCAGTAAATCGATGTCTACCTTTCCGCAATATTTACCTACATCATTATTTAATCGCGTTAAAAATAGAGCACGTGATTAAAAATGGCTTCTTCAAAATAACAAAAACAGTATCATAATACTAAAGTAATAATTAATGACGGGTAAATAAAGAATTAGTGCTTGAAGCAGATGATGCCTAAACAGAGGAATTGGTGTAAAGTTACCTTCCTTAAGGATGACAATATTCTAGTGAATGAAACATCCTTCAAAAAATTGACATGATTGAGAATATGATTCAAAAAAAGAAATAAAATCTATGCCCAATGCTTGAAATTGCTCCCAATTTTAGTAATCTTTAAAGAATGGGAAGCAGAAATTAGTAAGCTTCAGCTCTATCTGATCTGAGGGAATCAGCAGTACAGTATCGATAAGCTTCTAGTATCTGCGTTTACGGAAAATAAGGAACTACTTAAGGTACCAGTTAGCAATCATTTAATTAAGAGACTATCATACAGTACCAAACGAGCAGCTGTTTTAGTCTCGGAACCTGTGGAACAGGGCATGAAACTGTTGTTTTTAATGTTCATTGCTCTGAATAAGGACATTAACTTGACAAACGACACCGTAACAAGTAATAACAAATTGGTGACAGAATAAATAACAATGGAAAATGAAGTTAATTTGGTTGGTTAACTGAAATAACAGAGTGTGATTTGTGTTAATGATCAGGATTGAGTTATCGGATTTTGTTATTTTTATGACCCATTGCCTGATGTACTTAACCTCTTTAACTCCGATCAATAATCGACACATACATCAACTTTAAAGGGATACAGGCGTCTCAGAACTTGTTTTTTCTGGTAAAGCTCTATATATTAGTTTGTGTCACTTTTGGGAACGAAATCCGGTTTTTTCTTGATTCTCCAAACTCACTCCTTTTTAGCAGCACAAGACGAGGATGTAATATTTTCATCTAGTCGTTCAAATGACTGAAATGAAAAAGTATAGGCCCCTAAGCAGAAGTTCTATTTTTACCCATTGCATAGAGCTTTCCTGCATTGGCCGGCGAAGATTTCAATTCAAGTTATTTCATTTCATATTGGTGAAGAAATGTAGGACGAAAAACTCCATTTGCTTTCGACAACTACACGAGTATCGTCGACTATTTATGGTATCTTTAAGTGTGTAAAATACTCTACATAAACTAAAGACAACATTTTTTAGCAAGAACTTTCCATCTGTCACCAAATCGACAAACTTGTCTTTAAATCAAGAATATTGATTTGCAAATAGTAAGTTAAGATTAGGTGACAACAACTCGATTTCATTACGGATATCATTGCGCAATAACAGTCGGTTAATCTCTTGCTCGGAGACAGGATATTCCGACGTGCCGAGATAAACTAATGTCAAATTCATTAAATCACTCAAGAGCCACACTTCAGAACAATATTGCAGACACAAACAAGTGCCCTTGATGACGTGCTATTATGCTCATTTCAATGGTTTACATACACTTGTATCCGGATGTGATTTCAATGTCTCGATGATTCCTTTTGATCATTATTTTGTCAAACTTTAGATTGAGTCCATGAGCTGGTACAAATGATTTTGGTAGGTTACTCATTGGAAGTGAAACAGAATTATTTCCAAAATGTGAACCCCGGAGTTCTTCTATTAGAGATGCACGAGAAAGCACCTAAGGCAACCATTTCGGTTGCAAAATAATGCAAAGCACGATAATAGGATATAAAGAGACTGATAGACTGACGGAGAAATAACAAAAGACCACAACAAATCATAAACCTAGGAGGGCCGTGTGATCCATCAAACGATGACCCAACACCCGAAGGCAAAAGAGGCGAAAGAACACCGAGCGAGTACCACAGACCACTTACAATATAAAATTAAGGATAACTAAGCCTTTCTTATCAGGTAGGATAACCCATTGCTAAGTGATTACCCATTGCTAAGTGATTACCCATTGCTACGTGATAACCCATTGCTACGTGATAACCCATTGCCACGTGATAACCCATTGCTACGTGATAACCCATTGCCACGTGATAACCCATTGCTAAGTGATTACCCATTGCTAAGTGATTACCCATTGCTACTTGATAACCGATTGATACGTGATAACCCATTGCTACGTGATAACCCATTGCTACGTGATAACCCATTGCCACGTGATAACCCATTGTACGTGATAACCTATTGATACGTGATAACCCATGGATACGTGTGAAGAGGTAAAGTACCACAGATCTTCCGGAATAGGACAATTCCAGAATACAAAAACCTCAGATCAGATGACCGATTATTAAAACATTTTTCTGGGCCAATGTTAAGGATCCAAATGGAATACAGAACGAGTATCACCGACCTTAAATTATAAGTTCATCCCAAAGAATAAACGTTGGTTATATGAGGTTATGAACTACACTAAATGATCAAACTTAAAACAAGTTACCTGTCAAAACTGATTAAATGGTGTATCTCATAAAATATTCATAATCATCTCAAAATCCAACAAAAATTTGCATTAAAATTTCTTGTCGCATGTCGCGAACTTTTCACTTATTTTTAACACCAAGCTTTAATTCGTTTGTTGACATATAATTCTGACCTAAACTACGTGTGGCATTCGGCAATAGGTTACTGAAAAGATAGGACATGTCCTTACCGCCTGATGCTATAATTCGGTAGAATATGTCCAATTTAATTGACATCCCATTTGACTAATCAAATCGCTAGTGATACATGCATTGTTCTGTGGCGCATTTAATAAGTTCATACATTTCTACAGTGGTACATTTAATCATGTATTTGTGGTTTTGATATAACCGATTTACTAACCCAGAAATAGAAAATCAGTCGAATTAACTGGGCTTCCTGACACGACCATGGAGCATAATAACCCAATTACCCTTCTACCAACGTAATGCCATTCAAATGTTACATTCGATTATAATGTGATCATTATTTCATCTCAGACAAGATACGTGATAGAAAATGTTGGTATTTGAATTGTCCTGCCACAGGAAATAGTGACAATAGACACAGATATCAAATGGTCGCGATGGATAATGAGTCTGTAATTGGTGTCTTAAAGCTACGGAATAATGACACATCGTGTACCGGAAGTACGTTAACGTGGTAATTGTGGGTAATTGTGATTATGTAGAGATGATTTAGTCACTGTGGCCGTAGGAAAGATGTGATCACCTAACTTCAGAGAAAAATCGGAAAGACATCGTGGAAGCGTAATAACCAATCAGCATCAAAGCTTGTCGTTGCCGCGGGATCAATCTATTTAATACGCTCTTTAATTGACATTTATCGCCATGTTGAACTTTAAGACAAAATGTAGAGCGATTTTACGAGTGATGAAATAACAATTTATTATTTTAAAAAAATGAGAATCATGATAGGTTAATGTCAATTAATCACGCTCATGCCATGTTTTCAATCATAAGGTGGACTTATTCGACATAATTTAACCATCAAGCCAAAACTGTTTATATTCAGGTAATGACACTTGTGCAAACCAATGTAAAGTGATGCCAAGTGTTCTGTAAATAGAGACCATAAACACTTGAGTATTCAAAATATATGAACACAAACGCAGACTTAAAGGATTGGAAAGAGCAGTGGCAGCGCCTGTGAGGGTACAGGGGGGGGGGGGGGGACGTCCGGAAAAGTGGTTTGCACCAGCAATTGTACCCCTACTTTATTTTCAACAAATCTAAATGTCTACCTTTTTTCTCCAAAATATGTGTCAGAATATACAAAATCAATTTATTTTTGCTACAATTTTCTTGAGAGAACCCTCTTAGACGTTCTATGAGAGGCCTTCGACTATGACACCACCACAAAGTAGCCAAAATTTGAATTCAGCCTCAGCAGTTATCCCCCCATTGAGTCAGTCTGCCCCCTATTTGTACCCCCAAGTCACAGAAGGCTGGCGCCGCCACTGGTAAAGAGGTTTTCTAAAATGTGTATCGGGAACACTGGTGGAATCGATTTGCACCATTCCATTTTCAATCAGACGTCTGTGGTCTACTAAAACTTAGTGTTCGATGACGTCACTAATCGCAAAGGACTTATGTGATAAGGAAAATTTTGCGATTAGTGACGTCATCAAACACTTAGTTTTAGTGGAATTGCAAGAACCACTGAAAATTGGAATGATACCAATATTCTATCAGTGTCCCCAAATAACACATAAAAAATTAGAAAACTTCTTTACAATCTATTTAAGTCAAATTTCTTGGTTTGTAGTCCAAAATTGTGTTCCGTAAGTTATACTCTGTCTTGGTGATTCAGAACTTTAAAGATGCGAACCATGTAACTATTACTCAATTATTTAATCGTTATGTTCCCACGACTTAAATGACACATTTTTTTGCTGATGGGAGTAATTTTTCTGCAACCGGAAGTAAAAAATTTCGCTGAATAAAAATGTCTGTTCATGTGTTATATAATTATATTTTCTGGAAGAATTCTGGTAGCATTTACCAAGTTAACATTTAACTTTCAGTTGATCATTAGGAAATTTAACTATAACTTTCAAACAGCATGATGTCGGCGAACATCCAAGAAGTATAATATACAATTATCCACTAACAAAAATGCCAATTAAATTGCCAGTAACATGTCAGTCTTTGTACAAGTATTCAATATATTTCCTGTAAATCATGTATGTCATGTTTGTACCGAAAATTTATATCCATACCAATTGTCATTCCATCGACATACATGTAATATGCCAAATATATGTATATCATTGCCAATAACATACCAGTGTAAATATAATATATAATTTGTCAAAAAGAACATTCAGGAAGTATGATATTCGATAAGACCCCATGTAGCAGTTAGCAAGAGAATACCACTGACATGTTAACCAAGAGACATCGAGTAGTCTAGTTGTCAAGAGATCAACACTAACATGTTTACTAAGAGACACTGACTATTCGTCAAGAGATCATCATTGATATGTTAGCAAGAGACACTGTCTTAATATTTGTCGAGACCACCACTGACATGTTTACTAAGAGACACTGGCTATTTGTCAAGAGATCATTACTGACATATTTACTAAGAGACACGTACTATTTGTCAAGAGATCAACGCTGACATGTTTACTAAGAGACACGTACCTTTTGTCAAGAGATCATCACTGATATGTTAGCAAGATTCACGTATTATTTGTCAAGAGATCAACACTGACATGTTTAGTACGAGACACTGACTATTTGTCAAGAGATCATCACTGACATGTTTACTAAGAGACACTTGCTATTTGTCAAGATATCATCACTGACAAGTTTTTCGACAGAAATTATTTAACAAGGAAATAACTTTTAAAGAGCATACAGTGTTATGTTTTACCAGAAATTATCAAAGATATTCTAGTGTATAGTATATCATTACATACACTGGATATTTCTCAATCCAAATGTCATGTTTACAAATAGAATTCTAATCATTTATGAAGCCGATATATATATGACATATTTATGAAGAGAACTCGACATATTTGAAAACATATCTCTTATTACCATTACTTAATCAAATCATTTATCAAAATGGCATGTTTACAAATACAATTCTTAGAGAATGTTAGAAATATATTTGCCAAGGCACTGCAATTAATGCAAGAGATTTCCAGTAATGTCTGATCAAGAGAAGAGAGTTCTCGAGCAGGGAACCAGGGCACAAATCGATTAACCACAATTTACACTGATACACATGAAAAAAGAGATCAACTACTTCTGTGAATGATTACTATAAAGCCCTTGAACAAATGCTATGAATTTCGTGAACAAAAACTATGATTTCTTGAACAGAAATCCACAATTTAGATGTGAGGGACAGCACTTTACGATCCTCATGAACTGAAATACATGAACCTTATGAACTGAAACCTATGAACCTTATGAACAGCACCCAGTGAATTTCTTGAATGGAAATCCATGAATTTAAAATGCAAATGACAATTTTGTCATGACCGATCCATAGGTTGATAGGGGCGTCTATATATTTAGATAGATAGATGTTGGTAGATATAGATTTTACTTACCTAACCCAGGAATAAAGATATTGAAAATACAGAAAATAACAGCAACAGGAACTGGCATACAAGGTATAGCATTATATAATGGTCCATGTTTTTCACTGATTTCAATAATTTCAGCTTTTTCCTCGCTGATATGAACACTCTTTCTTTGTGGTCCTGTCAACGATTTCTTCACATCGTCTTGAGGTGTTGCCATTTTTATATATATTCCAAACACTTCTCAAGCTGTTATACTCCTAGATTTCCAATATTTATCATTTGGTGATTTGGTTTCAAAACTCCTCTTGAGCACAATCTTCAAGAATGGCGTGAAGAAGTATGTGGTATTTACTATTGGAGCATAAATTCCATTGATAATCTTGTTTGAAAATTCCAAAATTTAGTTCAAGATAAACAAGTTTAAAATGATTTGAAAGCCAAGTAAAAAATTATATTTACTCAAAATACGATTATTGACACTGGATATGTTCAACTGCTAATCAGCCACGCAGCAATGATACATCGAAATCCAATTTATTAAATAAAATCCAGTTAATATATGGTCAGAAAGCTACAGTGATATTATATTCCACAAAGCACAAAGAACGTTGTTACTAACGCACTCGTATCTTAAAATGAAGCTTTATGGTTAATCGAGAACTTATTCCACCATGTGTACGTGTTTAATGATAATCATACGAAGGAATTCTGATAAAAACACGAAGAAATTATGTCCAAGCTTTAAGACTGATAACAGCCGACAAGTCAACGAGCTATTCGCCTATTAATTCCAACGTACGTCTGAACTGTTTGATTCAGATTTATTCCACTGTGAGATACTAATGAGAACACTTCAGATAGAGTCGGTTTTATCTTGAAAAAACAGATCAGGTGAAATTTGAGATTGGAAAGGGATTAAAATCGCCAATTAGACGGAATCGACCAAAGAATAAATCACGATAACACGACAGAAGAATTCTATTTCAACTCAAAAAAACTTCTGGAAGTTTCGTTCATTTGATGGTCAGATCTAGACTATTAATGCACACCTAATGCCAAATAAACTATTTCTAAGAGTTCGGACACTTAAAATTCTCGAGTAATAATTAAAAATCTCATATACATATGCATGCAATATCACAAAATGCATAGGAAAGTACTAAAAAGATTCAAAAGTAGAAATCTCTGTCAACTTTTTGAGAGTTCACAATTTCATATCCCATTCGCGGAATTCTAAGTATTTTCACACCTTTGCACTCAAGTGGGCCAATATAAAACCGTTCGCTGTTATCTACCTATAACATATTGCTACGAGTAAAACATAGGTACTTCCACTGACTTTATATACAGCAACGTAATAACATAAACAAGCACGCGGTAGTGGAATTATAGCAGAACTCTGCTATAGAATGAATGCTAATATTTTGGAATGCTAGAATCTTATTTATGATAAAGGCCTTGAGATGATATGTTAGGATGTACGCGCCAACGATTGCATGAAATATATATCTTTATGATTGAATTTAAAGAACTATCGTTGGCAATTCTTCAAAACACTCCTGATGTGTGTCGTTTTGTCAAATGTTTAATTGTTGACAAATCAATATCTATAATAAGATTGCATTCCAAAACTCAAATGATGTCTTTAAGTAGCTATGAACACAAAATGATGTCTGTAAGCAGCTATGAACACAAAACGATATATCTGAAAGCAGCTATGAACACAAAATGATATGTCTGTAAGCAGCTATGAACACAAAATGATATATCTGAATTGTATTCTACCTCAACATAAAGTTTAAAACTCAATTCAGTTCTTTCATTTCAAAATAAATAAAGAAGACAACTTGTGTTTATGTTTGGAATTGAAGCGGCGTGTTAATAAATATCTCTGTTCTACTATAATAATGTTATATGTCATTCTAAATCTCTCGACAGTTTCCATAAAGCAGAGTGCCAGTGAAACAATTATTTTGGGAACATTTTAAAAATTCTGCCCTGGAAAAAAGATTGTTGAGCTCAATTACGTAAAACCATTGATATCACGCATACTAGTTGTTTGTTTTGCACCCCCCCCCCCCCTTTCTATGCAAATGCCACCGCCCCCTTGACATATTGGGTTGGTTATGGACCTGCGCCGTGGATTTCGCTCAGTAATATATCTAAATTTTACCCTCGACAATGTACACTGGATCCAGGACTAATCAGCAAATGATTATGTAAATGATATTATCAATTAAAAATGGTGGCATTCATCAATGAAATTATTCTACAAGTTATTTACAACTAGAGTTTATTATTGTTTATAAATATTCATTATGTATACTTATCTGGCATCTGGCTTTATTTAAACTCATTCTATGTCAGATTAAATGAGATATTAAAAGGGGCCAATTATTTGTAAAGCGACTGAATTCAGCTATCAGTATCTACTTTTAGAATAAGAATTTGAGTTGCGATTCCCCTTAATGTGATTACGATAATCATAACGACCTGAATATTTAATAACGCGCTCTTCCATTTGCACGTCTTTGATTTAATTGCAAACGAAGTTACGAGTTAAGACTAAGAACTATAGACTTTGGTCCTAATTTAAAAAGTGTTACAGGCCTACTCGTTTTTTTTTTATTATTTATTCAGTGCATTTTATTTCGTACAAAGAATCTTGACGATTTACTCATATTTAGTTGGACATGAAGGTGCTTTAATCCGCCTAATCATTTACTGAGAGAAACTCTTAAATGTTGCGTTCAAATTAGATTGTAGTACTAACTCTATCTATGACGTCATTAATGAACTTAATAATGATGAATTTGATAATAATGTAAATATTATATTTCTTGAGATTTTAGAAAATGTTTGGAAGAGTGGGTTTCCTTTTGCGAATAAAGCTCTAGTCTAAACATAATAACGGTAGAGTAAAATAAAAAGATAAAAAGCTGGGCCCCTATGTGTCTGTGTTATAACTTAGGTGGAAGTCGGAGAATGGGCTGCTTGTAGAATCTCCTCTGAGGTGGTTTATAAGAAGAATACGTCATTTAGATTTGATTATAATTTTCTAAAAATTGAAAAAATTTATATGCCACTCTTCTAAGTGAAAGAAATGAAAGTCCTTACTCTTGTCAATTCCTAATAAAGCTGTTAATTAAGTAATCCCAATGAACCACATACTATAGACGTAGTCTGTAGTCGCAAAACTAGCTTAGAGTTATCTACCTTTAGCAATATTCTCCTGTCAACAGAAAACAAAATTGTAAACAAAACAACAACAAATAAATCTTGTTTCGACATGTGAGATTAAATTTTACGGTTAAAAGCGGAAAAACTAATTTGCTGAATATTTACTTGAGGAAGCAGATATGGACAAGCCACAGATCATCGCCCATATTCAGAAATCACTGAATTATACGTTATTTGATGGGAAATGGGTACCTTGTAGTGCTAAATTTGTTGTTTTAGGAAGTCATGCTCGTGGAACCGGTGCTCTCCAAGTTTATGAAGTAGCTCATGGCGATGTTAAATTAGTTCATGATGTAAGTTTTAATTTACTTGAGCATAGCTAATATAATTTATTTTTATGTGCTATCTTCATGAACTCCAAGCAAGTGTTCTGCAGAAAAGTAGGATGTAAAACTCATTCATTTCATTTTCCTAGCAAGTAGCAAGTGTTCGTGTCTTGTTTGTAGGCTTTCAACTATGCTGGTGAAGCATTACCAAGTAGAACCGGTCTGCCATTCAATCTGAACTTTTGCCGTAAAGGAATGAACTGGAGCTATTGTCACTTTGGTATTGTTTGGATGAAATCAAGTCTTACATCATGATGGGGTTTCACAGTTGTCAACACTAAATTCACAAAGTCTCGTAAAAACAAGGGTCATAAGCTTTAAGACACATTACTCAAAGTTCAGGATATATGATGTTTTATTTTATTAACAATCAATGTTCAAATGGTTAACATGTTCATTTTAATACATTTACTTTATAAAATAATTTTGTATGTAATATTTTGCTATAGTGATAGTCCTTTTTCTTTTCTAGATAGAGAAATCGAAGGCATTTAAATGTGGAACCTTTGGAGCCTCAAGTTTACAACAAAGATATTTAGCTACAGGAGGTTTTGATGGCAAAGTACAAATATGGTAGGTGCATCCTTAACTTTTGTTTTTTTATTTTTGTGATTATCACTTTTTAAGACATATTCAATGCACAATTTTTCTGGCTAGGAACTCTGTCAGATTCTATAGAATTGCAATATTTTATTTCCTTGGATCCATTCATGCCTGTGGCTCCTGCAATGCAAGTAAAACTTGACTTTATTATGATGTCAAAGTCGAAAGCCTGTTTGATTTGAATGTCATTTGTTTGGTGACCAAACATGATGGGAATTCTGAACGTACAATGGCCCTTGCTCATTATTTTTTTGTAAGTCAAATATGTAAATTGGGTGTGTGATATACAAACGCTACATTAACATGAAATTTTAATTATAGGAATCTAGAATCTAGTGATGTACCAATATATTCTGTGACAGGTCATACAGAGATTATTAATGCTATAGATGGTGTTGGAGGAATGGGAATAGGAGAAGGGGCTCCAGAGTTAGTCACTGGCAGTAGAGATGGTAATTGTTATAAGGGTTTTTCCCTATCTATTTATAGTAGAAAAAGATATGCCTATCTGTCAAGGAGTCAAACATAATCATGAGCAGTTTGCTTGATTAATCTGTAATGACTGCAATATTACAAATCTTCTTTGTTAGTTTCCATAACTATTTATTCTGCCTCCAGATACACTGAACTGATTGTGTATATGTTTGGAATTGTTAGCTGTTGTGCTGGACGTAATTCGATCTAATTCACTGGTCACACTCTTGTTTAAAATTAATGTTGCTTCTTGCTCGAAATTTATTATTTGCTTTTGGACAAGTCATAGTCATGAAGGTCATGATCACCATATCATAATTATTACTGGTGAATTTCATTATGAGCATACTAGATAATAATCAACAGTACAGTGATCTTGTATCAGTTACAATAGATGATTCTCTGAAATATTGAATAAAAGCAGCTCCAGACTTTCATATGGCAAGAACTAATATATGTCACATAAAAAAGAAAATATGAAGATATTGAATATTAAAAAACAATTTCCTCTGTACTACCAGGTGCTGTAAAAGTTTGGGATCCCAGACAAAAATCTGATCCTGTAGCTACTATGGAACCTGGTGAAGGTGAAACTAAGAGAGATTGTTGGTCTGTAGCATTTGGTAAGTCAAATTGTTAAATTGTCTCCCTTACTTCATGAATTGAAATACTTTGTCTTACCGCGATGAGATTTTGTATAGGGCCAGGGGCAGTGACTGTAGCTCAGTTGATGCGTACTTCAAACAAATAGCAGTCGAGGGTTCAAATCTCGATCGTCATGGATCCAGAAAAAATCAATACCATGAGGTTGGGACTTGCTTAAGGAAAGAATCCTGTAAAATACAAGTTGTGATCCTTATAGAATATGTTTGTTTCTTTGAACGATTTTAGAAATCAAATGGAATTCTTGAATTAACTTTTTTTTTGATTCCAGGTCATGCATACAATGCTCATGATAGATGTGTTTGTGCTGGCTATGATAATGGTGATCTGAAATTGTTTGATTTAAGAGCAATGGCTTTAAGATGGGAAACTAATGTCAAGAATGGGGTATGTAGATATTTTTATTCAGATTACCCAAATCCTTAGCACTTTTTAACATGAAAAACTAATGTTAAGTCCATCTACAATAATTGAAATTGTGAAACACAATTAGGCTGTTCAAAACATTCTCCACTTATAAGTACTAATGATGTCATTATATTGGAACCTTTTGTACCTACAAAATGTGGTAAGGATATTAGAACTGAGACTAACTTCACTTAATATTTGATCGAAGACTAACAAAATTTTCATTCTGAAAAATTAAAGTGACACAGATAGCTCCCATTGAGCTCTGTCTGGTGTTAAAATAAATACATGCCTTTAACTCAAGTGAAGATGACCAAAAAGTGAAGCCATCAAAGTTAAGTATTCAAATAGTCAATTCTGTCATGCAATTGTGCATGAATTGCCGTCTAATGCTTGTCGTTTTGTCTGTTTTCTAGGTTTGCTGTGTAGAATTTGATAGAAAAGACATTAGTATGAATAAGCTGGTAGCAGCAACATTAGAAGCTAAATTCCATGTTTTTGATATGAGAACACAACACCCTAAATCTGGTTTTGCTGGACTAACAGAAAAGGTATTGACCATTATTATCAGATTTTACTTTTTGATTAAAAGTAGTACCTCATTCTCGGTTCAAAAACCAAACTTAATCTATGACAAATCAAAATCCATTATGGCTTCATTTGTAAATGAAGAATGGAAATTGTATTCCCTACAACTGACTCCAAAAGTCATGTTGCCTGGTCAGAAACTCAGGTATGGCCAGAGCAACTGAAAAACAATAATAATATAACTACATGGCATCTGAAATGCATGCGATCTACTAATATGAGAATTATGAATTAACAGGACTTGTGTCCTTATTGAATTTCAAAGTTGTATGCATCTTGGATTTGAAAATGGTTTTCTTGTTTTTATTTTAGGCTCACAAGTCAACAGTATGGTTAGGGCGTCATTTACCACAAAACAGAGATATTTTTATGACCTGTGGTGGAAATGGTTCACTTAATCTATGGAAATAGTAAGTAAATTGCTGAAGTAAATAGCATTAATTTTGATAGAATTTTCTTTTCTTGAGACTCTTGGGACAACTAGAAAGTGAAATTCCTAATTTGAGGTATTTTTGAAGGAATTATGCGATTTTAAGTACCTCTGAAGTCTATTTACATATATTAAAGACTCAAATCAACCCCCTAACAAAGTGAACCTTTCTTTTCTTTATCAAACAAAGCCTGATGATTTTATGATTTTTTTTTTAGTTCTTACCCAGCCAAACGTGTTGAAAAGGATGCTGAAGACCTAGAAAGGGGTGTGGCTGGAACTGTCAATCTTCTTCAAAATGTGACATTATCAACGCAACCCATTAGTAGTTTTGATTGGAGCCCTGATAAGGAAGGTTTATGTGTGTGTACATCATTTGATCAAACATTACGTGTTTTAATTGTGACCAAACTCAATCGAGTTTGATAAAAATGACAGTGACACATATCATGTCAAATTTCATGAGCATTATCTTGTATGATTTATTAAAACGCAATTTCATTGTCATTCATGGATATTATTTTGAAAAAAATTTGTTAATGTAAATTGATTCTCAAAAACTAGTTCAACTTCCATAAAAACAAAGTTTTGAGCTCCAATAGAAGATGAGAGGCAAACTCTCATCTAATGTCCTTTAATTTACTTCTAGAAAGGGCTCAGATCTCCTCTGTGATTAGTAGATTCTGACAGCAACTGAATTTTCAACAACTTCTAGCAACTGAGAGAAGCTGATATTGCTGAAATTAGTTGAACTGAGTGCTCATTTTCTACTTTCTAATTCGTCAGTGGTCAGTGCTCTTAAGATTCATTAACTTAACCAGAGTAGTCGGTCAATTTTCAGAGAGTTTCGCTCATGTCTGCTGCAACACATTCAATGATATGCATGGAATAGACAGTTGATCCGAGCCATGCCGTATTAAACAATGTAAGCTGCATGGTCCTAGCTTTTGACACTTGATTTGAATTTTAGGTCTATGGTAGTTGATTTGCTGATTTACCACCAAATCAATGGAATTAATACATGTAATTTAGTCAGAATTAACTGTATATTCAAGTTTTATCAGCATTAATAGCATTGTCATTCCAGTTTCAATTCCTTCCATTTGTATTGTTATTTATTTTGTTGCAATGAATTAAAGATATTCCTGAACTTATTTAGTTTTATTTGTCCACATTTATCATGACATATATTTAAGCTATCGTGACATCTAATAAACCTATCATGACATCTATTAAAGCTATCTTGAAATATATTAAAGCTATCATGACATATATTTAAGCTATCGTGACATTTATTAAATCTATCATGAGATATATTAAAGCCATCATAACATAAAACTTTCATTATCAAAAACGCAGTAAATTATACCTGAAAATATTTCTAAAGTATGCTATTTATATCTATGTATCTTCTTGATCAAACTGGATTTGTTTTAAAGGGTTAATTAAAAACGGAGAGTACTAATTGTTAATTATGCAGTTTGACCAAGTTTTGGTATTTGGCTTTAAAAATAGTCGATATTATTAGTTGAAATCTTTAGAATATATCGTAGACATATTTCTCTATAATTTCTCGTTTATTTTACTCAAATCGGTACAGTACTTTTCTAACAGCTTCCAAAAAAGCATAGCAAACTTTAAAGCCTTACGTAATGTTTTCTAAAAATTAACGGCTCAATTTTTTTCAGTTAAAACTTTCAGTTACGTTAAAAGTACATCATGACCAATGATAGCTACTTATATCAGAAGGAAGGCACAATCAAAGAAAACAATTTCTAATTATAGCAACTTAGTCAATACTTAGGGAATACCTAAACCTGTATGTCAACTAATCGGTCAATTGAAGTCATGGAATTAGGATATATTAATCACGATTAAATAATATGACAAACATTTCTTTAGAAAAGTCGGTTACCCAGTTTTTATTTTAACAATTCACGTCAAGTTTTGTTGAATTAGGTTTGTGGTAAGCATATAATTGGGGCATTGATATTTATATACATATGTATCATTTGGTAAATACATGTTATTTTTAAAAGCCGAATTCACACGTAGGCCTAACAACATTGTGTCTTTGGAAAGAAAAATTGAAATATGACTCTCTTTCTCGAAATTTTCTACCTGACTTATATGCACTCCAGTTCCATCAATGATAGTCGAAATTGTGATGCAACATTATGTTCTAGGTCATCAATAAACTGGACCAATCAGATGCTAAAGATTTACTAACACGGCGTGAGAAATAGTGGCCGGGTTATTGATTGCGAACTTAAAATATGTTTGTTCTTGATTGTTTCCACTTTCAACCTCAACCTGGGTCCTATCGTAACGACCATGCTAGCCTCTCCGAGCTGCATGATTGACAGGTGCGGTCAGGTTGAAAAAACTTAAGTCTTAAGAGGACATGTGAGCCATTTTGTGGGGTTGATTTGAGTCTTGAATATAAGTGAATAGTCTTCAAAAGTACTAGAAATGTACGCAAATCGCATAATTCCTTCAAAATTAACTATAGGAATTTATCCTCCTATTTCTATATGCCTTTATGAGTCTCAATAAAAATTCCCGTTTATGAGACTAAACCCAAACGGTTGGAGAACGTATCCCGTTAAAGGCTTGTTGCCAAAATCGGGGATTCTGTTGTAATAGTTATGATAGCAGATAAGTCCGCCGATTAATAAAAATTCGTATTACCCATATTTGAGAATTTTATTAAATTTTTATTTTACTGTCATTATAAGACTAAGAGGTAGTATCACTTTAAGTCATTAAGAAAGGTGCTATATAAAATGAAGGCAAGAAGTAGACCTAGTTTCAATGGGAAAGTGAAACTAGGCCAGTAGGGTGTAATATTGTGGGCTGATAAGATATTTCAACTATTTACACCGAAAAAGTCTGATAGGCCTATTACATTCAACCTAATTTTTATACGCCCACATTATAATGTGGTCGTATATTGTCGTCGCCCATAGCTGTCCGTCCATCAGTCGGTCCACAATTTGTTTGTGAACACAATATATGCTACAGTTTTTTATCTGATTTTAATGAAATTTGGTGTGATCATTTATATTCATGAGATCTTGGTCAAGTTCAAATTTGAAATTGAACAGTTTTTGAGTTATTGCCCTTGACTTAGGAAAAACGCGTCAAAATTTGTTTGTGAGCACTATAGAGACTACAGTTTTCATTCGATTTAAATATAATTTGGTGTGAATATTTATAATGATGAGATCTTGAATTAGATTTTTTGTTCGACCTGACGCAGATTGGTGACCGCCCTTGATATACTGAAAATGTATCAGGAAAGTGGCCGTATCTTGCTAGGCAAACACTTGTTATAATATGTTAAACCCGGTTACGCTGACCCGTTTACCACATCACGATTATATTCTTTATACCTTATTCAGTTAATCATTATAAACCAATAATTTGTGCACTCCCAAAGAGTCAAAGTTCATTAAAATCACGATTATTTTCTAAATTATTCAACTGAAATAGTAGGCTAACAATAATATGTGTAACTTTAAGAGGAAGTTGTTAGGTAAATCACGCGATAATTCAAGGCCATTTCATTTTTTTGAACTTGTGTATTTGGCTATACATCTGATCTAATTTCTAGGCCTTGGGAACATGAATAAATACAGAAATCACAAGGAAACATATATTCACTGTAGAAAAAAGTTAAGTGTCACATATTTTGGAGAATAGATTTGGTTAAAAGAAAAGGTCTTTGAGATTGTAATTGATAAGTGCTCAATGTTGTTTTTCAAGGAAGTAGGCCTTTAAGGAAGTATGTTAAAAGAGAAGATATTTAAAACTTGGACAGTCAGATATTGTGGGCTGATGTATGAAAGGGCATTTTCACTGATAAAAAGATGACTTTCAACCTAGTAAGAGCCAGGTAATACCATTTGCTATGTGAGTCAGTTTATGAATCATCAATTTATCTTAAGGGATTGTAAAGTAGGTTTCCAAATTTTTTGTGGGTGGGGACACTGATAGCATCAATTTGCACCGTTGCAATTTCAGTCAGATGTCTGTGCTTCCTGCAATTCCATTAAAACTTAGTGTTTGATGACATCACTAATTGTGAATGACTTTATGTGATAATGCATTTTTCATGAATAGTGACGTAATCAAACACTTAGTTTTAGTGGAATTGCAAGAGCCACAGACGTCCAATTGAAAATTGGAATGGTGCAAATTGATGCTATTAGTGTCCTCAATACACATATAAAATTATAAAAATCTCTTTACAATCCCTTTATTGTAGATGGTACTATTCAATGAAAAAATCAAACCATTGACTAATATTATTACTCAGCTTATAACATATATCTGTCTTTAGATTTGTAGTAAAACTGGGGCCTTGGATACATTAAATATTTTCTTGTACTGATCATTGTTATCTGATTCATACTGATAGTTCAAACCAATTAAAACTAAGGTGAACAGTTTTTTATTTTCCTTTATACAGATCTTACAGGTACAATTTCAATTCAAAAGTAGGATATCACTTCAAAATCTTCAAATATCATTAGTTCTAGAATGTACCACTAGAGATGCCTGACGCCAATTTTCCAACTAATCATTCCACAACAGGAACTTCTGACGGTATCTTCTCTCCCCTCTCATTCAACCCATAATCCAAAATATTTAGTTGGGCTGAGACTATCCGCCCCCCAAAAATCCAATCTTACATGTCCTGTGACCATGACCTTGCACTCCACATGATCCCAAATATGAAGCCTTTGCACTTAATTAGTGTATTTCAAATAGTAACATATCCATCATCTGATCATCTTCTGTTTTTTCTCTGGTGGAGGCTTCATACTGCTGTTACTATTATTAGATTTTTGATCTTCTGCTCTTTCAGATTTGATTTCTGTTTTCACTTCAGTTTTTATGGATTCATCTGAAATAAAAAAGATACATCATTAAATACATCAGCTTTACAGGTCCTGAGGGAATGCCATTTTCTTTTTATGGACATTATCTCTTTTCTATCAAAAACTCTATCAAGCAAAAATTTTCTAAAAAAAAAGTATGCTTTTTCTATGGCTATATAAAATATATTATATATTTTCTATAAACAAATGTTGATATATATTACAACAATGCCTTATTTTATAACAAAATTGTTCTTTCCTAAACAAATGTGTTCTTTTTATAAACAATTATGTTCTTTCTATAAACAACTATATCGTGGGTGACCGCTTGAAACCTCGTATATGCCATATTTGGTCATTTTGACTTTTTGGTACCGTTCCAAAGCTCGTAAAAGCGCAGATCTTGTGAACAAAGCCTTGTATTCTTAGCTTGATTCTAAATAACTCAAAAAGCACTAATTAAATAACACGTATATGAACAGTCAGATTTAAAACCTCGTAAAATATATTATTATACGAGGTTGAATGTTCCTTTTCTGC